CTCCCGGGTTCACGCCATTCTCCTGCCTCAGCCTCCCGAGTAGCTGGGACTACAGGCGCCTGCCACCATGCCCGGCTAATTTTTTGTATTTTTAGTACAGACGGGGTTTTACCATGTTAGCCAGGATGGTCTCCATCTCCTGACCTCGTGATCTGCCCATCTCGGCCTCCCAAAGTGCTGGGACTACAGGCGCCGCCACCACGTCCGGCTGATTTTTTGTATTTTTAGTAGGGACAGGGTTTCACTGTGTTAGCCAGGATGGTCTCGATCTCCTGACCTCGTGATCCGCCTGCCTCGACCTCCCAAAGTGCTGGGATTACAGGCGTGAGCCACCATGCCTGGTCTATTCAACTTTAAAAAGGACAAACATTCTGACACATGCCATAGCATGGATGAACCTTGAGGACATTATGCTAAGTGAAATAAACCACTCACAAAAGACAAGTACTGAATGATTCCACTTACATGAGGTGCTTACATAATATACAAAATTAGCTGGGTGCGGTGGCGCATGCCTGTAATCCCAGCTACTCAGGAGGCTGAGGCAGGAGAATTGCATGAACCTGGGAGGTGGAGTTTGCGGTGAGCCAAGATTGCACCATTGCTCTCCAGCCTGGGCAATGAGCGAAACTATATCTTAAAAAAAATAAAAATTAAAAATAAAAAAATAAAGCTGAATCATGTTCTGTTGCATATATAGACCATATTGTAGACACTTGGGTTGCTACCACTTTCTGGCTATTGTGAGTAATGCTGCTATGAACATGTGTGTACAACTGTCTCTTCAAGACCTAATTGTTTCTGTTCATGTTCTTGTTTCTACTTGCAATTCATGCCATCATACGTTCTATATTTTTATGCCACCTTAACTCCTTTTATCTTATAAGGCAGGCTGTATATTTTAAGACAGCAGGCTTTATTTCCTGTTGTTTCTCATTTACACCTACAATAGGTAGCAACAAGTGTCAACAGTGTAACAGACATTCACATCGAGGATCTGCCAACCCCAGAAAGCACAGTCCACGCCCAAGAACAAAGTCCGAGCACCACAGCCTCAAATGTGGCAACCAGTCACTCCACAGGTAAGAAAACCAGCCACCTCCACAGGGACTGATCTACTTTTACATAATCGGTGCATTCCAAAGTCCACCAGCAAATATAATAATCAACAGGGGACATACTGGTCTGCAAGAATGACTTCTGAACCAAGTTTTGTATGGTAGGTTCAGAATTCGATTTGAGTCAATACATTTGGTTTAGTGCGTTGCTGAACATATCTCTTTACCTGGAATAACTAGTGATAACACCTGCACAGGGTGAGTTCAGTAACTACTGAGGTTGCACGGCGGACCCCAAGCTGATAGAATGTGACGCGAACGAAGAACTTTGTGTTGACGCCCAAGGGCACGACACTCAGCCACCCTCTGTAAATCTTCATAGATTCTCTAGGAAGACTTACCACCTTCCATTGAGTTCATGTCTGTATGCGTGGTGCAAGAATCTGTTCCCAACCCTTCTTGCCAGGATTTGGGTTGTACTTGTGGCTCACAGTTGGCACCTGCAGCCCCGTGACTGGAACACCTTGGAGAAAAATGGAGGAGTTTTCTGAGTCTTTGCTATTACTCTATCTAGACCGTCACTGACGAGAAGGAGGAAAAATGATTGTCCATTTAAGAAATAGAAAGAGATTACTTCCTATTTCTAGAGATTTCTTGAGAAATTCAGTGGTTTGGGGTTTTTAAAAAATGCCTTATTTTATAGTGGATAAGGGTGGGAGAGAAAATGAATGAATCCTGTGAAAACCTCAGTGAGTGCTGGCTAACTTGAGAAATTTTATGTGAATCATTTAATCTAGATAGGTCTTACATAGAAAGATCACGTCTAAACCAGTGGTTTCCCAAACTAGTCGCAATTCAGAACACCTAGAAAGCTCTTCTTTACTGTCCCTTTTACATTTCCAGGATCAATCACCAATCTGGTTTTAAAAACTATGGTTCTTTTTAGGATTTAAAAAAATGCTTAATTTTTGTACCCCCATGTTTACAGCAGCATTATTCACAATAGCTAAAATATAGAAATAACTCAAGTGGCCATGGGTAGTTGGATAGATAAGCAAAATGTGGTGTATATGATGGTGTATTGTTCAGCCTTGAAAAGGAAAATGCAGACACATAATACAACGTGGAGGAACCTTAAGGACATTATGCCAAGTGAAATAAACGAGTACAAAAAAAATACTGTATGTCTCTACTTATATGAGACCCCTTGAATAGTCAAATTCATGGAGACATAAAGTAGAGTGGTGGTTGCCAGGGGCTGGGGGAAGAGGAGAATGAGGAGCTACTGTTTAGTGGGTAGAGTTCCAGTTTTGCCAGATGAAAGGGGTTCAGGAGGTAGATGGTGGCGATGATTGCACAACAGTATGAATATACTTAATACCACTGAACTCTACATTTAAAAATGGTTAATTTAGTACATTTTATGCTGTATGTGTTATACCACAGTGTGTGGGGAAGGGGGGAAAAGCCTTATAAAGGGCTTTGAGATAAAACCTGAAACTCACTCCAAGCTGTTAAAGAAATGATTAACATTTAAACACTAGAGAAAGCCAAGTAGAGCTAAGCAAAGAAAGGATAATCAATATAAACGATCATTGGAAAACATTTCAAAATTTTGGAGAACTGCTTATCTGTAATATGGGTTGATAGCTATATATTAGCGGCAGAAAATTGTGCCATCCATGTTGAATATTCTATCATACTTCTTACCTCTCTTCTATTCCTTTAAAAAAAAATTCTCAGTTGCCTGGGAAATAACTCATGTTACTGTTTCTTCCTCTCCCCTGCCCCACCCTGTCACAAAATTGCCCCTCCCTGTCACAAAAAATTGTGACTTAGGGCACATTCCTACTTAATACATCATTATCCCAAGGCATTTTCACAAGCGAGCCAAAATGTCATTATAAGCATGCAGTTTTGAAGGAGTAATTTTATTAGGGCAGCAGATGTTCAGTTTTGCTGCGAAACACCCGCATAGGATGATGTGCACACGTGTGATGCATGCTCATGATCACAGTCAGTGCCATTGGGAGGGAGATGGGAAAGATGGCACTAATAAGCTCTAATTTAATAATAACAAATCGTCCACAAACTTTAGTAATATATTTTTTAACCAGTGGTGTCTTTGATCATGGTACATTAAGAGCTGGGAATCAGCAGCCACATGGTAGGCAAATGACAAGCAGATGATTGACTTATCTCTCCAGGCAGTTGACTTCTAGCAGTGACATTTGGGGAGTTGATTTGATGCCGTCTTTGTTCTGGGAAAGCTCAAACCCAGCCGTGTTCTATATAGTGGGGGTAGCACAGTCAGCACAAGCTCTTACATACCCTACACCCATGGGCTCAGCTTGTGCAGGGAGTGCCGGCTTCTGGGACCTGTACCCTGGGGGCATCTTGAAGGAGGCACCTTGTGCTGAGGAGAGCCTTGGTACAAAAGGGATGGTTTTCAAACCCAAGCATTAGAAAAAGTAGGCATCTTTTACATGATAGTTGGCTAGTTTTACCACTGATTAGGGAAGCTTCTGGATATCTGGGGTATTTTGCAAGCTGTGAACTAAGATTTTAGGGCAGGGCCTGACTGACGATTAACTTCTCCAATTTCTTATTAAATCAAGGTATCTTGACTTTTTCTCCATCTGCAAACTAGTCAATAGCCACCTCCCAGAGGAGTAAAGGACTCGTTATATAAAGAGGTCAAGAAGAAAAATGAAACGTTTTTATTTTTAAATAAGCTATTGCATAAAATTATTCAAAATAAACTCACAATGACAGTTATTCACATTGTAACTGTTAGACTAGGTTTGACTGCAGATAGAAACCCTAAAATAACAGTGGCACAAACACAAAGGGTGTATTCGCTCATGAAACTTAGCTGGGCCTGTTGTTGCCTTGTAAAAATCTGGATTTTGCTACCAAAACAGCAGCAGGAAATAGATATTGAGACTAATCAGTCTTGTCACATCTTCCCAAACTAGAGTATTATCTCACAATGAGTAATACCTCTTCACAGTCTGTCCCTTCTCTGGGATCTTGACATTGGACTAAGAATCCACAGCTCTGAATTCTTCTGCTACCTTAACCTCTGATACTTCTTGATCATTTATTTAAGATCTGTGTGGCTCAGTTACCTTTACTCTGCTTTCTAAATGAGATGAGACAAAATTAATACATGGAAAAGTGCTATGAGCCCATTGGTGTGAATAAGGGTTCATAAATTAGATAATAATAGTTACAACGTGTCACATCGGGGCTTGCTTAAAAATCCCCTGATCCAATTTATTTAAGAAACCAGCCTGTTGGTTTATGTTTTGCTACTTTCTACTTGGGTAAGTTCACCTTTTGCCAATTGTTAAATTATAGTTATTAAGCCCTAATAATTCTACATTATTATATCTTTCTCTTTCCAGACAAAGTGGATGGAGACACACAGACAACAATTGAGAAAGGTAGGCTAGATTTTGGCATCAAAATACTCCTACTGGAGCTTTTAAAAAATTTCTTTGAAGCTAATTGTTGAGACGAATTGCATTCTTTTCTGGATTGCAGTCAATGCGAGCAGAATAGAAAACCTTCGAGAACAGATTCCAAGCTTTTTTTTTAAGAGAGAAAAGGGACTTCCTTGTATTTGAAAATAAGCAAACCCCAGATGAGTCTATTCCCTTAATGTCAGAGATGGGGAATGGTATCATATCACAGTTTGTCGTTACTAAGGATGAAAATAGGGGCTAACTTAATAGCCATACGTAAACACTACCCAAAAATGAACACTTAAGCCAATGTGAGTGTTATGTTGATAGATCCTCAGACCCAGAAATCTTCCCATTCGTAAAATAGGATTAGGCTAGCCCAGATTTTCTGCTTTTGGAAGAAATGCTCTGTGCTTAAACAACATAGATCATTATTTGCTATGTACAGTAGGGCAGTGGCTTTGTTTATATATTACATATTTTATTACCGATGTGTTTTTTATCTGGGGCTCATGCTTTTTTTCTCTCTCTCATTCAGATGGTTTGGCGACAGTGACCCTGGTTGGAATCATCGTTGGGGTCTTACTAGCCATTGGCTTCATTGGTGGGATCATCGTTGTGGTTATGCGAAAAATGTCGGGAAGGTACTCGTAAGTAAATAACTTATACCCATGTGATAGGTAAAGGAAGGCTATCATGTCTAGAACTCAAATCTTTGAACTGATAGAAATCTCTAATATAAGCTGGGTGTGGTGGCTCATGCCTGTAGTCTCAGCTGCTGGGCACCTGTAGATCAGCCTGGGCAACACAGGAAAACCCTGTCTCAAAAAAATAATCTCTGGCATAATGGTCATGTTCCAAAGTTCCTTTCTTGGGGTTTTGAGTGCAGTGGCTTACGCCTGGAATCCCGGGGCTTTGAGAGGCTGAGGCAGGAGGTTCAGTTGTGCCCAGGAGTTGGAGGCTGCAGTGAGTTATTATGCCACTGCACTCCAGCCTGGGTGACAGAGCAAGACTCTGTCTCTTAAAAATGAGAAAAAGCCCCTTAATCTTGAGAAAGGCTACATCTGAAGTTTCCTCAGAAGAACAAATGTCTACTTAAGCCTTATAAATTTCCAAAAGAAGAGAGTGAGAGCCAGAGAGGGCTCGTAAGCTCACTTCTGCTGAGATCTGACCACGTTTGATCTCTTGTCTTAATTTTCCAACTAACTGAACTTGGAAGAAAACCCAAACCAAGTTTTAACCTGATGCCTAATCAGCCTGCCTCCAGCCATCAGAGATAGTGGCTTCTAGAAAACCACCTGTCACAGAGTTAGCAGCCCATTCTGATGAGGAGTTCCACTGAAGGAGGGGGTCTTTTTCATTGAGATCTCCTACTCTTGCCCTGCATGCACCCACACACGTGGTTGTGGACTCCTAGCTTTGACTATTGATGAAGGGAAGGTGTTTTTTCTCCTTATTAAACTTCCTTAAGAATTCAGAATATCTACACTCATGGCCAGAGGAAACCTTTTTCTTTTTCTTTCTTTTCTTTCTTTTTTTTTGGAGACAGTCTTGCTCTGTCACCAGGCTGGATGGCTCACTGCAACCTCTGCCTCCTGGGCTCAAGCGATTTCCCTGCCTCAGCCTCTCAAGTAGCTGAGACTACAGGCATGCACCACCACACCTGGCTAATTTTTTGTATTTTTTAGTAAGAGACAGGATCTCACCATGTTGGCCAGGATGGTCTCGATCTCCTGACCTCGTGAGCCACCCGCCTCAGCCTCCCAAAGTGCTGGGATTACAGGTGTGAGCCACCGCACCTGGCCAGAAACGTTTTTCTTATATGTGTTGGGGGGATGATATATGATGGAAGGGAGGGGAGAGGACAAGTGATAACACACCTGGAAGGTTGAGGGATACCGGTGACAACACAGCTGTGGACTCAGCATGTTTGGAAAAGCCAGGGAGTCTGACCCTGCTGTGTGAGGATAAAGGGATGGAGGAGGAATGTCAGGAACGAGAGATCACCAGGTGTCAGAACTGGGAGGATTTAGAGCAAGGGCTCGCGGGGTTACTAGTCACAATGCCAGTAAGAGACACAACTGTCACCTTTCTCTATTCTCACAGGCCCTAAAGAGCTGAAGGGTTACGCCCTGCTGCCAGCATGCTTAAAAGAGACCGTTTCTGACTCTGCGCCCTGTCCCTGAGCTCGTGGGAGAAGATGACCCGTGGAACACTTGCCCGGCCCACTCGGAATCCACGGTGACCTCTCCGCTTGCCAAAGTAACTGAAGGAAAGACCGTTCACCAGACTTGGCTCCTCTAAACATTTGCCTTTCAAACATGTTTTTGAATATACATTCTCTAAAAGATGATTTGAAAGACAAAATTCGTAGAAAATGGAGCACAACTGTATAAGCTGATTTGTAACTAAGACTGGACCGTTGGATCGATGTTAGATGCTGTAACCATGTGTCTCCGTCTGACCGTTCTTGTTATTGTTAAAATGCAGAGGAATCTGGAAATATTTATATCCACGGAGTCCTTGGATCCAGTGCCACGTCAGTAAATAGCACCAGCGTTTTGCAATTGCTGATCTGCTGACATGTACCACACATTCTGGTCTAGTTTGTTCTATCTTTTAAAGCCTGATCTGGTGTGAATAATCAAGTAGAAAATCTAAACTTGGATAACACGTGATGAGCAACTGCCTTTAGCTGGTCCCGATTAATCATTTCAAAGACATCCATTTTAGATCACAAGCAGGAAGTCTATAGTCTCAAAGGCACTTTGTATCTCCCGAGTAGGCCACCAGGCAGCCCCTAGAGTTGCTTTACCCAAATCCTTCTCCAGCCATGACTTGGTGACTCCAAGCTTGCTCCCACCTGCCCCCTCCACTTCCCTCAGATGATGGGGAGCCAGGGCTAAGGGGGTAGCCTTCTCTCTTCCCAATGATGCATATCCTTCGGATTGGCTGCTTTGTTCTGGAATATGGATATCTCAGCCTGGATGCCGAGGAAGCTGCCGGATGCCTCATGGTGCTAGTGGCTCAAGTGTTTTTGAAACTAAGAGCCACGTTGGCCCCCGTGCAGAAAGAAATCCTATGTGAGCCTCTCGTATGAGAAACAAAATCTGCCAGTTTTATAACAGCATTCACTTTCTGCCTCTGAGGAAAGACACAGGGAACAAAAATCATTTTGTACAATCTTAATTTTAAAAGCAGCTGGACTTAAATACCTGGTTTAAAAATAGAAGATATCCCCGGTCCTCATGACATACCACAAATATCTGTGGGGTCCTATTGAAAAAAACGAAATAAAGGAGCCCAAGGGGTCATTCTGTCTCAGCACCATCCAGCCCGGCACTTCTCTTCCCATATATCCGTTGGATTTTTTTGGTTTTTTTCTAAACAAAGTTTTTATACTGAGCAGATGTTCTGCCGTGATTGCGGTTGTGCAATTCTGGTATCCTCTAAATTTGTAAGCATTCGTAAAACAGGAAAAAGTAAACTATCAGTCAGAAGCACAGCCCGTTCCTCCCATTTTTTGCAATAACGTGTGGATGTTATTTTAAACAGTGTGTCTATGTGTTCCCAAATCCAGCTGGCCCCACCGGCTCAGATTCCACATATATATATATCTATTTTTTGAAACGTAGTCTGCAACCTCCGCCTCCCGGCAATTGTACGTGTGTCAGGGCATCAAAAAGCAATTCTCCTGCCTCAGCCTCCCAAGTAGCTGGGACTAGAGTTGCCCGCCACCACACGCGGCTAATTTTTGTATTTTTAGTAGAGACGGGGTTTCACCGTGTTGGCGAGGATGGTCTCGATCTCTTGACCTCGTGATCTGCCTGCCTCGGCCTCCCGAAGTGTTGGGATTACAGGTGTGAGCCACTGTGCCCTTCCTCAGATCCCATATTTGAACATCAGCTGTTTGAGAGAAGGGGGATGAGAAGAGCTGGATGAGTTTAAATAACTTTCACTTTCATTGTTCAGATTCCTGAACAGGAGTTGGGATAATGGCCATCTTCTCTTTCCTATCCTTTCTTCCCCCCTCACTGTGAAAAATAACAGTTCACCCCAAGTCATACACTGGACCCAGTGCCTGCGGGGACAGGACTGTGGGTTTCTTGGTCACACCTGTGTTGGTGCTCAATGCAGTGTAGACATGTTTTCAAATAAAACAGATGATTGTGTACAACGAGTCAGACCTTTGTTTGAAAACAGACAAGTCTGGGCCACACTTGGGAACATCTCCAGATAAGATTACAACTTAGGTAAACGCCTGCCTGTTGCCTTGCTTGAGAGTGGATTATAGATGGCCAGAGGAAAGAATTCCACAGGAAGAAAACACACCTACACCTTTCAGCTAGGTCTGCCAAAGTAGGTCAAGCAGAAGCATGGGCAGGGGAGACACATGGCACCTGGGGGCTTTCGCCCTCTCTGGTCCCAAAGGGTTAATGAGGTTTTGCCTGATTTTTTTTTTTTTTTTTTGAGACAGAGTCTCTCTGTTTCCCAGGCTGGAGTGCAGTGGCGCGATCTCGGCTTACTGCAACCTCTGCCTCCTGAGTAGCTGGGACTATCCACCATGCCCACCTAATTTTTGTATTTTTAATAGAGATGGGGTCTCACCACATTGGCCAGGATGGTCTTGATCTCCCTGCCTCGGCCCTCCCAAAGCACTGGGACTAGAGGTGTGAGCCACTGAGCCTGGCCGCCTGATTCTTAATTTCTCAGCACTGGAGAGTAAAAGCAGGTGAGGGAGCAATTTCATTTTGCCGCTGCTAGTCCTCCCTCGACACCTGACCTCGGGAGAGGTGAATCCCTGTTGCTGTGGGACACTCCACAGTTCCTTGCTCACCCTGACCCTGGCTGGAGATTGCTCTGGCCAGCTCCTGCGTGGATGCTGCAGATCTGCTCCTCCTGACCCCACCTCACCACTCCATTTGGATTTCGTCCTTCTGATGTGTGTCCCCTCCCTGCCAACTCCATCCCCACTTGTAAGGGTCAGGTGCTAGGAGCAGGAGAGCAGTTAGCCCCATGACTTCCTCAAAATAAATATTCACTTTTGTTAAATCAGGATTGTTGAATTTGTCCGTTGTCAGCAATTCTGGGTGCCCATTTGAGTTCCAAACGAGGAACCATATTGTATGTCTGTAGTCCCAGCTATTCAGTAGGCTGAGGTGGGAGGATCGTTTGAGCCCAGGAGTACAAGGCCAGCCTGGACAACAAAGTGAGAGCCCCATCTCTTAAAAAACGGACCAGAGTTCTAGTCCCGTTCTGCTCCTCTACACCTGTAACCCATCAGGGAAGTCATTTAACTTCTTTGAGCTGCAGTTTCTAATAAGAACTTTCATGAGATTGTCAGAAAGCATCCCTTTTCTAGCAGAAAACTAACCATGTCTACCTAGTTCAACAGATTGAAAGAGAATGGACCCTCAACTATGTTACATGTAAATTTACATTCCATTACATGCCACCCCCAGGAGACGACTAGAAACTGGTGGAGGTGCCAAGGCCCTGGATGTTTAGGGAAACAACTCTTATCAGAGGTATCTGGGAGCAGGGGGTGCTGAAGCTAACTCTTTGCATGGTATAAAGGCCTTGTTTTTAACCCTTATTTTTTCCTCTCAACCTGGTAAAACCAGTTGAAAAAGCAGAGCTTAGTTCTGCTTCATGTGCCACCTTCAAGGCTCAGCATTCATGAACAGAAAAGAGCAAGGAACTGTTCATCCCTTGCTGTCTCTATTTTTATTTTTTTATATTTTTTATTTTTTGAGATGGAGTCTCGCTCTGTCTCCCAGGCTGCAGTGCAGTGGCGCAATCTCAGCTCACTGCAAGCTCCGTCTCCCGGGCTCACACCATTCTCCTGCCTCAGCCTCCCGAGTAGCTGGGACTACAGGCGCCCGCCACCATGCCCGGCTAATTTTTTGTATTTTTTGTAGAGACGGGGTTTCACCGTGTTAGCCAGGATGGTCTCGATCTCCTGACCTCGTGATGCGCCCGTCTCGGCCTCCCAAAGTGCTGGGATTACAGACATGAGTCATTGCGCCCGGCCTCTATTTTTATGTTAATTCAGATTTATTTAATATTCAGGGCATGGGGCAGTTTGTGACATGCTTCGATTGAGGAATGATGCATGTTTTGATTTTAAAACTTGTGCCAATTAAAAGTCCATTGAAAGTGGAAAAAATTCTGCCCAAACTAGCTGCATATTAACACAAACACTAAAAACAGAGTCATCCCCTTGTGTGCACTGGAGGACTCGTTACCTGAAACTTTGCCTTTCTCTTTGCTTTTCCTGAAGCTTAAAATTGGGTTAGAACATATAGTAGATCCTGGATTTTTCAACTCAGTAAATATAAATGATGTAAGTGTGGTTATTGGTCAACAATGCAGAATGAGTCTCAGACCACACCCACTGGCGTGAATGGGAGTTTTTTTTTTTGGCCCAGAGGCCCAGCATACAGGTACGTACCTGGTACAGGCAAAGCCAGCTTGAAAGCACTGAACGCTATTCCTCAGCAGTTTTTCTTACTCTGAGATTATTTTATCAGACGCTGACTCAAAGCACGGCGTGTTCTATTTCTGCATCCAAGGGCTCCGGGCCATAGTACAGACAGTCCTATGCGTGGTTCTGAGACCTTGCTCCTCCTCCCATTTTTTTCTTTCCTACCTCCTTCTCTACTGCTGCCTCTGCCTTTCCACTGATGCAGATCTTTGAGAAAATAATCACGTGCCGGTCACATACCAGGGCAATCAGCAAATGTTTCTGAAGTGATGGCTTCTCTCTGGGTGCTGCTGAAGTAGCCAAAGAAATCGTCTGAAATATGTGCTTGAATAAAAGCACTTACAGTCCTCCGCATGTAACCTCAGGAAGGTGTGCAAGTGTCCTGACCATAGCAGGAGGTGGACCCCTTCCTCTTGCTCCCGTTCCCACCCTGCCATGGAGCATCTGTAGGTGAGGCTGGATCTGTTGATGGCGCAGGGCTCACTGGGCAGGGGGTACATAATGTGGGTGCTTGTCCAGCAAGATCCAGAAACAAACGACACTCCCTTGGGTATAACTGCTGAAGGACTCTCATGGGACAGGAGTAATCTGTTCATTCATTTATTTATTGATTCAAACATTTATGTTCGGGCCTGTCCCAGGTGCTGGGAATCCTGTGAATGAAACCAACAAAAATTCCTGCCCACATGGAGCTTACATTCTAATGCTGGAGACTACAAAAAATAAGTAAATCATAGAGTGTGAAAACGGGAGACAATGGAGAAAAACACAGCAAGGAGAGGAAGTTCAAGTTTGGAGGAGCTGCAGCATGGAGTCTGGGGTGGGAGAAGGCCTCTCCGAGAGTTAAGCCATGTTCCTGAAGTGGCGGAGTGAGGAGTGATCCTGATGGGTACCTGAGGGAAAAGTATTTTTGGCAAAGGGCATAGCAAAGGCCTGAGGCAGGAGTACCCTTGGCATGTTTTAGGGAATGCAGGGAAGCTCAGAAGGCTGGAGCAGTCAGCACAGGGGACCGTGGTAGGAGATGATGTCACAGAGGTGGAGGACCCTTGGAAACGGGGAGCCATGGGAAGCTTTTGAGCAGAGGAGTGACGTGATCTGACTTATATTAAAAAGAACAAATCCTCATCTCTTTTTGGGAACTGGCCAGTGTGAGAATCCAAACAAGAGATGATGGCGGTTCAGACCAGGATGATAGCAGTGGACGTGGTGTAAAGTGGTCTGGTTCTAGTGATAATTTGAATGAAGTCAACAGAATTATCTGATAGATTGGATGTGGGATATGAGAAAAACGGGAGGGTCAAGATGACGCCAAGGATTTTGACTTGGGCAACTGGCATAATGGAGTTGCTATCGGTTAATAGGGCAAGGCTGTGGATGCTGCAGGCTTGAGAGAGCAGAGCTGGAGTTCTGTGTTGAACATGCGGAATTTGAGCTGTGTACAGATATCCAGCTAGGGGTATGAAGCAGGCAGTTGGGCACACGAGTCTAGAGCTTAAATGAGGGATGACTGGAGATATAATTTGGGAGTTGCTAGAACCTAACAACCATGATGCTGATGAGCTCACCATGGGCATGAGTATAAATAGAAAAAGGCAAGTCCAAGAACTGAGCTCTGGTGTATCTCAAGGTTAAGAGTCAGGGGTATGCAGAGAGATCACCGGAGTCTTCCACCACGGATTGGATGAAATACGTTTCAGGATTAGCCATTCCTGTTCTCTTCTGTACCATCTAACAGTCTTCTGATTAATAATCCAGCTCCCCAAGTAGCTTAATACTGGAACGAGGGTGCCCTGGGCAATGGGCACAAATATTCCCACCATTGGAAAAGAATATTATTAGTTGAAAATTACTAACTTGGCATTTGGTGTTATAATCAGTTTCTTATGAGTTGATTGGCATGAGTTAGGTCCTAGGACTTGCTCAACCCTGGATACTGTTACGCAATTAGGATTTTAAAACTATAAATCTGCAGGCCAGAATGATGACCACATCAAAATACTCCTGCATGTTGGGCGCCCAACTCTTCCCTAGACAATACTTCTATTGTCAAGTCCCAACTATAATGGTTCCTACGTGACCTCTCAGTTTAGCATCTATCTGCAGCCCTGAATTACTCTGATCAAGCTTCCAAATGACCTTCTGTGTGTCATTTCCAGGCCCTCTTCTTGGTCTTGTCTTCATTCATCCTTTGCAGCCATCGGCCCTGTTTTTGGTTCCCTTGAAAGTCATCTTGAAGTCATCTTCTCTCGCTTGGTTTGCATGACATACTCCCGTAGTGGTTGCCCTTCCTGGTTCTCTGCAAGCTGCTCCACTGGCTCTTGTCTTCATCTCCCGCTTTGCTCACAGGCATGCTTCAGGCTTACTTTTCGCTTCTCTGTGGTCTCTCCCTTGGAAAGCTCATCTACTCTCATAGCTTCAAATGGCATAAGCTCCAGAAGGGCAGGCATCTGTTTGGTTCTCGGCTACATCCTTAGCCCCTGCAGCAGTAACTGGCACATAACAGTGCCTCCCCCTTTACATGTGCACCACCAGCCTCCTAATTCAGATCCTCAAGCAAAATCTCATCACAATTGCAGACTTCAATGCCCACATCCCCTCCTCCAATCTGATCTGCATTCTACCAATGGGATCTTCCTAAAATGTACTTTGTTTTTTTTGCACATGCCGCCACATTCTAAACATGCTCCAGT